TATTATACCAAACTCTTTTGTTTTCATCTAATGTATTTTTTAAGATTTGCACAAGCGTCTTATTGAAGGCCTCGGCCAGTCCATTTTACATAGGATAGTAAATTGTAGAGTACCTCCAGCTATCCCATGTCTTTTGACAAAGTTGTTGATCTTTGTGCTCTTGAAGGCTGTCCCATTGTCAGCCTGCGTGGTACATCAAAACACTACACGATTTGACTTTTGAAAAATTACAAAACATGCTGTGTTGTAACATTTCGTAATGACACTGCCTCTGCCTACTTGGAGAAGTAATTTGTAGTGACAAGAATAAATCTATGTTCCTTAGAGGATGGATGGTCTATTAGACTTATTATGTTCGTGCCTCAACACTCGAATGGCCACGAGGCAATATTTAGGTGTAGCACATTCGGAGGTTGGTTTAAGATCACCCCAAGCACTTGGCAAAGGTGACATCTTCTAGTTGTATCCATGCAATTGAATATCATTGCTGACCAATAATATTCGAGTCTCTTGATCTTCGTTCTCTTCTTCAGCCTTGATTGGTGAGCACTACATAATCCGACATTTACTTCTTTGAGAATATTATGTGTTTCAGCTCTGCTTAGACATCTCAATCACATCTGATCGAACGATCTTTTGTAGAGGACATCACCCACTAGAGCATATGAAATAGCTCTTTTCATGATGTGGTATGCCTCAGACTTGTCCTCTAGCAGCTTTTCAGTTTGCAAATATTCTATTAATGGCTTGCGTCAGTCTTCATTAATGTCAGCAACTATAATCATCATTTCTTCTTCCTTTTTTAGATTTATGTAAATTATTGAGGCCGATCCGAGATAAAACTAATCATCCTTATGCTGTAATATCAATGAAATCCTCTGGTGGACATGCCAATTCCTTGGAAAGTTTTGCTAGAGCATCGAAATTGGCATTATCTCCCCAAAAGAATCTGGTAGAGAGTCACACTGGGGATCTGTTCAAGTAGCTTTATTGTGTGCCGATGGTATTCTGCTAACCTTGGTTTCAAAATATTATATTGTCTGCAACTTGTTGGATGACGAGTTGTGAGTCGCCGTAGATGGCAATGTCTGTTATATCCATCGAGATTGCGAAGTCCAACCTGGTGCTCAACGATTCATATTCTGCTTCATTGTTTATGCAAGACATTGTTTATGCAAGGCTCTGTCAGGTGATAGGAGAATCTCAACATGCCAATGAAAATCAGACCAATTTCTGCTTTGCATGGTATAATCATTTTTGATCCTTTGTCTTTTCTGGCTGATGAAGCCCCATCAAAGTTCATTTACCAATGTCTGGCACTAGACGGTTTTATTTGCAGTAGTTGTTTGTTTGGCAATTTATTGTTGAGAGGGGACTCAGTTGGAAGTGGGTGCGCTGCAAGAAAATTTGCTAGAATTTGTCCTTTGATAGCGCAAAGGGGTACGAAAGTTATAAAAAATTATATCAATTTGTAATAAAATCATTAACCACCTTGCTAAACATCAAGAAAGTGTTGGTCGGGTCATCAAACATTACAATGGATTAAATCTCGAAATAATGGTAATTTTATGAGAAAGCATGTAATGGCTAAGTTTTTTGGCGATGAAAATTAAAGCTAGACAATGTTTCTCAAGAGGCGGATACTTTACCTCCGTCGGTATTAGACGTCGACTTAAGTAGTAGAGTGCATTTTTCTTACCCTCGTCATTGACTTGAGCCAACGGGGCTCCGAGAGAGTCGTCTAAGGCCGCAATATAAATTATCAAAGGTTTTCCTGTGATAGGGGGGCCAAAACAAGAAGTGTCATTAAATAGTGCTTGACGTCCTCAAAAGCCTATTGATATTTCTCTTCCCAAATGAATTTGGCATTTTTTTTAATTAATGTCGAGAAGAGCTCGAGAAGAGCTGACACCTACGAAGAGCTGACACCTACCTACGAGATTAGAAATAAAGTGTCTCAGATATGTCAATTTTCCTTGGAAGGAGCAAAGTTGTTTCAAGTTTTGGGAGGAGGCATTTCCAAGATAGCTTTAATCTTATCCCAGTAGATCTTAATTCCCCGATGGCGGACAATGAATCCTAGAAACTTCCTGGAGGTAACGCTGAAGGTGCACTTTAAGGAATTCATCTTGAGATTATATTATCGTAATCATTCAAACACGACCCTCAAATCAAACAAATGGTATATTTTCTGTCTGTTTTTGATGACCAAATCATCCACCTTCTTATGACCAAACCATCTACATAACACTCCACTTGGTTGTGAATGAGGTCGTTAAGGATCTTCATCATAGTTCATTGATATGTTGCTCCGGCGTTCTTCAACCCGAATGACATTACTATGTAGCAAAAGATCCCAATCGGTGTTCTGAAGGCTGTAAGTATTGCCTCCTCTGAAGCCATCTTGATTTGGTTGTAAGCTGACGATCCATCCATGAAAGAGAAAATCTCAAGTGTCGATGTGATGTCCATTAATTCGGGCATCGGTAGGAAAAGTCATCTTTTGGACACACTTTGTTTAAATCCTTAAAGTCGACATATACATAGATTTGTCTATTTTTCTTCTTAACTGGTACAATATTGGCAAACCATGTGGGGTATTTCTCTTCTCTTACAAAGTTAGCCTGTATTAACTTCTTTATCTCAACAATGACTTGTTGCTCTATCTCAAGGAACATCCTTCTGGGAGCTTATTTTACAAGGGTCATATCTTTATTAACCGCAAGTTTATGAACTGCGACCTCTAATTACAATCCTGATATTTCATCATAGCTCCATGCGAAGCAATCTTTAAATTATGACAATAATTCTATCAATTTTGTGGATTCTTCCTTATTGAGTAGAGAACATATAAAGGTGGGTTGGGGTTGTTCCTCAGTCCCAAGGTTGATTTCTTTAGTTCATCCACTATTGACTTAATTTCCTCTTGGAAAACTATAACAGAAATAAGAGAGGACTTAGAAAAGAGTCCTGAAAATATTGGCAAGTTTTGAAAGTTCTTTTCTAGGGAGTTAGTTTGGAGAGATATTCAGGAACCACTTTTTATTTACTTTATCCTTTTTATTATTTTGTTTTGAGTGATTGTAAATAAGAAGAGATTTAAAAGAACTTCAACTGTTTGGTGGAGGACTTGAGATAAGTTTTTTATCTTTTTGTTTTAGACTACTTTTAGTTTTAATCGAGACTTGTTGTTGGTTTGACAATGATTTCTTCTTTTAAACTAAAGTATGATTTTGTTTTCTCCATGGATTCTGAGTAGTTTTCTTTAGCTTTCTTCTTAAAATGATAAGTAATTAA